AAGGACTTGAGAGCGTCGGACGCCAGTGCTGCTGTAACCAACCATGTCTAAACACGCAACATTAGCAAAGCAGAACCCTCCTGGTTTGGCTCTTGACTTTTCTCTCTCTCACTCTTCCCTTCCCATTGACATGCGCTTGCACCCTGCCTTGTCCTCTTGTAAAGCTCTATTCGAGCAGCGCCTTGTCTCCTGAAAGAGTAGTCTCATCTCATATACCAACTTCAAGTCCATACTTGCCTGGGGGGACCGACAGCGCGCCGCAACTCAACAACTCTCGGAGTTCCCCTTCCCATCCCCCTCCTTCCTCCCCCTCTCTTCCGGTGGGTTGCGCAGACAAGGTGATGAGGGAGTTCTTGCCATGCGGCCTAACGGACTCCTTTGAGCCGTCCTACTGCTCCGTGCAAGGCGTGCACTGCGACTACCGCGGCATGGTCAACTCATTGTGAGTGTTCATCGATCATCGATCATCAATCACCCGTAGCATGAAGAGGCCAGTCCTCCATCAGCTTCAGCATCAATGTATCTTGTTAGAGTGCAGCGGCACCGCACAGCCTCACCGCATGCTACCCTATTTTCGTTTTCCATCATGCGATTCCTAGACATTTGCTTGCCATCATGCGAATCCCGTCCTCAGAGACCTCGGCAGTCGCTCTCTGGTCAGCTGCAGCATCCCCTACAGCATCAGCAAGCTCACTGCCATGACCAAACTGTACGTCCCTCTTACCACCACCACCATCACCATCGCCACCCCTTGTCCCTCTCACCACCACCACTCTTTCTAACTGCACACATGCCCACGGGTGTCCTCGGGGGTACGTCCATCTCACTTCCATCTTACATCTATCGCAGTTCCTTCCCTGTGGGGCGTTATGGTAGAATGAGCCATGCCTGCTGCTGTGTGTGTGCGGCCATGGCAGGTCCCTGGCGAACAACAAGCTCATGGGGACTATACCGGACTCCATCTCCACCCTCACCAAGTTATACAAGCTGTGAGTCTGCTCGTCTTTTTTGCGGCGCATTAAAAGTCCGTCATGACCTCATCACAAAGGGCTGTGATTCGGCTCGTCTTTTCTGGACTTTCCTCATAAGCTGTTCAACCTTTATCGCCTTCTTTCCACCCGTCTCTTCTCACTCTGTGACTTTTGGTTCTCTCTCCCTCTCCCAACATCATCTGCATAGTGAGCTATGGAAGAATCAGCTCAGCGGCAGCATTCCTTCAGGCATTATGCAGCTCTCAAGACTCTCTTACCTGTAAGCATGCTCCGGAGAACGATCCACAGCCTGTGGAGAGAAACACAGATGACCTCGCACCTTTGCCTACACTTGCATGCTCGGCTCTCTCAGTCTTGGCGACAGATCTTAGGTGGGCGTGTGCAAGACTGAGACAGTCTCAGGTGGGACGCCCACCTAAGATCGGTAGTCCAACACTCTCTCAGTCTTGGCGACAGATTTCAGTGTTGGACTACAGATCAGTGTCAGGCTTGGTGAAACAGCAACTTTGACACTGATCTGTAGTTCAGATCTGTAGTTCAGATCTGTAGTTCAGATCTGTAGTTCGGATCTGTAGTTCAGATCTGTAGTTCGGATCTGTAGTTCAGATCTGTAGTTCAGATCTGTAGTTCAGATCTGTAGTTCAGTGTTTCAGTGTTGGACTACAGGTGGGCTTGTGCAAGTGACAGGTTGGTGAAACATCACTAGTTCGAAGATACCCCGAAGTAACAAATGATGGCCAGGAACAAGACAGAACAAGACAAGCCGAGCCTTGCATATACCCTCTCGTATTTCCCGTCCGTATCCACATGTCCTACCTACCTTCAGAGGCCTTTCACAGAATCAACTCACTGGCAGCATCCCTGGCACGACAGGCGCTCCCAGCTACCTTAATCTGTACGTATGGCTGAAACTCGTATGCAGCATTACATTTGACTTTTGAGAATGCTGCCCTTTAACCATCCTATCAAGCTCACCCACCGTGAAAGCGTCCAACCATCTTTCCTGGGTTTCCCATCCGCCATGTCTTCTGTTACTTCTCATTCTTTCCCAGGCAACTCCAAGGCAACCAGCTATCGGGCACCCTTCCCGCCTCGTTGGGATACATTCAATTTCTGTGAGAGCCGTACTGAACGCATAGAGACGGGGCATGCAACAGAGATGAGGGGAGGGAGGAAGGGCGAGAGGAGAAGGGGAGAAACGTGCGGGAGGGAGGGAGTTGGGAGCAAGAGCGATGGAATGAGAAAAACATTGTTCCGACTTTATCGAGCCATATCATGTACTTCCCTCCTAAGCATGAATCTGTCATGTGCTCCACCATACCATCTGCTTTTGAGTCAACTCAAAAGCTCCTTCATGTGGCTCAAAGATTGCCATCTTGCAGCTTTGAGAGACAGCAGTTGAGACCAGATTGCCAATTGTTTCTCACTGGTACAGGCCTGCCCGCCCCCATCATGCCACGTGTACTCCTCCACAACCGTCCCCTGACAGGAACATCGACTGGGATAACTTCACGTGTCCTGTCAACGAGGGGGATTGCGTGGTGTACCAATATCACCGCTCTCCATTCTGCACCTTCTGCCCGGGCTTCTGTTCCACTTGCAACCCTTCCAGGAGTACGTTAGCATGGCTTCTCCAAGTTTGTCATCCGTGCTGCTTCTTATCTGCGGATCCAACTGAATGTTGCAGCCAAGATATGATGCCTCACTAGTGCATGCTCGATTGATTGCATGCTCGATTGATCGCATGCTCGATTGATTGCATGCTCGATTGATTGCATGCTCGATTGGTTGCATGCTCGATTGATTGCATGCCCGATTGATTGCATGCTCGATTGATTGCATGCTCGATTGATTGCATGCTCGATTGACCGCATGCTTGCTTGACGACAATCCCTGCATGTGCACTGTTAAATCAACATTTGCATCACCTAATTCACCACTTCTCACATTCCGATTCTCGCTGGTCCTGAGGTCCTGCCTCTCTCTTCGCTTGCAACCTTTGCCCCTCTGATCTGTTATTTCCAGTGGCAACCACGCGTTACGAAAGACAAGACATGAGCCCAGCAGACATCGTAGGCATTGCGGTTGCCTCTGTGGTCATCTTGCCTGTGCTGCTGCTGATCGTGTACCTGACTTACGTCCGCGTGAAGGAGCAGAGGGAGAAGGAGATGCGGGAGAAGGAGAGCAAGGAAGAGAAGGAGGTGGAGAGGATGGAAGGCGGAGGCAGTGAAGGGGAGAGGGAGGAGGGGGAGAGAGAGGCGAAGGCTGCTGTGGAAAGTGGCAGCGGATGGTGGTTCTTCAGAAAGGGCAGTGGTGGCGACGCAGAGGCAGCAGCAGGGGATGTTTCACTGGCAAAGCCAACACTTTCAGCAGCTGGCATAGCTCAAGGGGAAGGAAAAGAAGCAGCAACAACAGCAGGAGCAGGAGGAGCAGGAGGAGGGTGGAGGTGGCCTTGGCAGGCAGCTGCTGGTCATTCCGCTGCCGAGGCAGCAGCAGCACATGCAGCAGCCATTGCTGCAGCAGGAGGCGGTGCAGCGGCGGCAGCAGCAGCGGGTGCAACGGGGGGGAATGTGGGAGCAGCAGCAGCGGTGGCAGAGGCGCGGCCTATGGTGTGCCGTTTGTACTCGCTGGCAGAGGTGGCGGCAGCGACGGGCGAGTGGGCGGAGGAGAATCGCATTGGCAGCGGCAGCTTCGGGGATGTGTACAGGGGCGCCAACCCCACCGCTCCCCATGAGACCTGGGCCGTCAAACGCGCCAAGGTCCTCACCAACGACTTCAAGCGCGAGGTATGTTCCAGTCACTCTTGATACCCTGCCTCATGTGCAGGCTGACCTCACCAACATCTTCAAGCGCTAGGTAAGCTGCAACCCCCTCAGTGAATGATTTCTACGAGAGCGTACCGTAACTCATCAGGCTGTAACGTTACTTCAGTTTTATGTTCGCTCCCTTCCTCTCCTCCAACCTGTCCCTTTTTACCCCTGCCCCCCCTCCACCTTCCCCGTGACGGTGAGCAGGTGAACGAGATGGCAACGAAGAGCCATCCGAATCTGGTGCGGCTGTTGGGGTACTGCTTTGACATCAGCCCAGACACGGAGCGCATGGAGCAGATCGTCATCTACGAGTTTGTTGACAACGGCGACCTCGACCGCTGGATCGGACCGAGTGAGCCCTTCACTGTTCACTGCCGCAGCCGCCAGGCTGCCCTGCGTTATGGGCTCACTGGATCACACCCCGTGAGCCTTGTACTGCGGCCACCACCACATATGAAGCCCATTATCAACTCTTATTTGGATTCTTTGACTTGCACGTTGACTCTCTTTTGTGCGTCACATGCATGACATTTTCATGCGCATCCCATGCGTGCGTGCAGGGAGCCCCCGCCCCCTGGCGGTGCACATGCGTTACGCTTCTATCTTGACACATCCCTCTATCTCTTCCCGTGCACGGCTGCAGGGAGCCCCCGCCCCCTGGCGGTGCGGGAGCGGGTGGACATTCTGATCGGCATGGCCCGCGGCCTCGAGTACCTCCACAGCTTTGGCATCGTGCACCGCGACATCAAGCCCGCCAACATCCTGCTCGACAAACACATGCAGGTGCGCACACCAGCAGAGACTACCACCTGTCCTTGACCTCCCTTCTTTCCAAGGTATAAGGTCCAATGCAGCTGCCAGCCATCCATTAGACGATGTTTCTTTGCTCAACTGACTTGTTCGTAGTGAGATTTATCGTGTTGAACAATTCCCCTTGGGGGTTTATTCTCTGCAGCCCAAGATCGCTGACTTTGGGCTGGTGAGGCATGGCGAGGGCACGTCGGTGATTGCCACGCGGGTGATGGGCACACCGGGCTATGTGGACCCCGCTTACTACAAGTCACAGAAGGCCACGCCAAAGGCTGACGTGCACAGGTATGAGCAGGATATTTTTTGCTCTATCAAAATTACCGTACTTTGCCATGCTGTTGTGCCTAATGCGTGTGTACTTGCCCTCGCTCGCAGCTTTGGAGTGGTGATGTTGACGCTCATCACAGCTCGCAAGGCCATCTACAACGCGGATGCAGATCAGATCAGCCTCAAGCAGTGGGTGGCTCCACTACTAGCTGCCGGCGACGCAGGTGCAATCAAGGACCCGCAGCTGGAGGCGCCGGACGACTTGGTGCTGCGCATGGCCCGCCTGGCCCTGCGCTGCACCGCCATGCCCACCGCCTCGCGCCCCTCCATCAGCCGCGTGCTCGGCGAGCTGCTCGTCATGAAGGAGGAGTTTCTCGGGCAGGACGAGGACCGCATGGCGGTGCGCATTGACCGCGAGCTCGAGAGCTCCGAGAATGTCAACCTCAGCATGGAGATTGCACGTGCCCAGGGAGCAAGGAGCAGCGGAGGAATCTCGAGCAGCTCGTGAGCCAAACTGCTGCTCCTTGGCGGGACTGGTTCAAAATTTCGTCTGTTAGACCTTCAATATAGCCATTCGAAACCTGTTCACTCCCAGCTTCTCCTGTGAACTAGGTTGGGCGCGGTGGATTTCGATCCAAGCAAACATGGTAGTATGTGTATTCACAAATATAGAACATTTTCTGTTTTTGCAGAATATATCTCAGTTATTCTTGTACCATCGTTTTTGTTTCTATCATTGTCTCAGGAACGTCCTCGTATATTTTGTTGGCATATGGATTGTACATAGTACGGATGAGCAAAAGAACGAACACCTGTCTGGTTCGCAGGTTAATCTCTGTATGTACATAGTCCAGAAACAGATGGATATACATGACTGTTTCATGTTACGTTTGCAAGGGTGATTTTACGCGGGAACGTGGTGACAAATCTTGGTGGAACGTGAATTTCAAATATTTCCCGCCACTCCATCGTGGAGCTGGCGTCATGGAATCCGTGGAATGGCGGCGAAGGCTATAAATTTCGTGAATTCGTGAACCGGAGCAGCCAAGCATAGCTGCGACGGGTAACACTCGCCTACCTTGTCAAATTGAACGAAACCTTTCAAATCAGGTGTTCACAGCCACGTAGGGAAAATGGGTATCCAGTAACAGTTTCGTTTTGGGCGGAGAGTACGTTCAAATGCGGTTGAAAAAGGTTTGGTTTTGATGCTGGGCGGTGCTTCTGGAGACTGAAATGGTTGGGTAGGGTTTCCTGCGAGTACGTACTTTGTTAGACCCGCCCTAAAGGCGAACTGCTTGGTTGTGCTGTGCAGTGCCCCACGCCACGACCCCGACACCCTAGCCCCCGTCCCCCCGCACGCCCAGCCACGATCCGCTCCCGGCCTCGTCTAAACCAATCAAAGAGTCGCATCGCCACTTCGCGCCAAATTCTGCATCTCCTCCTGGACAGTAATTCCCCCCCCTTCATCGCCCCCTTCTTCCCCATCCCAGAATAGCAGAAACCCCTCGTTCCTACCACCACCACCAACCCAACCCTCATCGCCCTTCCCCGTCGCTGCTCGCTTGTCACTCCCTCCCCCCCCTCTGACGTCCAGCTGCCATTCTTCCTTTTCCCCCCACCCATACAACCTCGATTCGCCCGTCCGTCGTAGGCAGTTATCACTTTTCCTCACTATTTAACGAGCTTTTGGCTGCCTAGCGAACGCGAAGCATCAATCTGTTGATAATTTCTATACCGTGGAGCAGATCAGACATACTCTTTTTGACAACTCTCGGCCCGTCACGCCATGGCTGCCGCGACCTCCAGGTCGCTGCTGCCACCAGCATTGCTCGGTGGTCCACCCTCAGCCCCCGCCACCCTCGCGCCAACCGAACCTGTTCACAGACTAGGATGCCTCAAGAGCCGCCCGCTTTCGGTTCCCGCTCCCGTGCGCACATGCCTTCTCACGTCTCTCCGTCTTCCTCCTGCCCCCGTTGCTGCGATTTCCAACAACAAATCGGCTGACGACGCGGACTGCAGGCTTGCACATGGAAAAACTAAAGAAACCGCCGCCGCGAGCCATTTTATGAAGCCTGTTATCATCGCGACCGCGCCTCTTGGCGCGCTCCTGCTGACATCCGGCCCTGCGTCCGCGTTTTCGGGAAGCCACGCGTACGGTAGTCTTGGACAAGGCGAACTAGGCTGGTCCGAGTCGCTCCAGACCAATGCTGGAGGAGGAGGCGGTGGCGGACAGGGCGGCAACGGCGGCGGCGGCGGCGGCGGCGGGAGTGGTGGTCCAGGAGGAGCGCAACAACCTGGAAACGACTCGCCGTATTCCAACGCTGACGTGGATGAAGATGATGATGATGTGGACGAGGCAGACAACCCGGACGGCATTTCCGAACCGGTGAGCCCAGTCGGCAAGAACGCTAGCGCCGTTCGCGTCGCGGCTGCCGATGCTGTTGCGAGGGATGCTTCTGGCGGCAAAGCGCCAACAGAAAGCCGCGACCCGGCGTGGCGAGAGTTTCCCAAGCGCCGATCCAGCAGCCGCCGACGCCACGGCGCAAGCGGGAACGTCGGCGCCGGTGCCACGCTGCTGAACACTTATCCCCCTGACGTGCTCTTCGCGTCGCTCTCAGCCGTCGCCGGCTCCGCTGGCCTTGCCGGCGCCGGCGCCGGCGGCGACGACAGCGCTACTGCGGCCAGCGCCGGAGGGGGAAGTAGCAGCTCCGCGGGCGGCTTGAGCAGCGGAACGATCAGCAGCAGGCGGAGGCGGCCGGACGACGAGCGCATGCGTCGCGCAGACGGCATGTTTGATTGGATGGCGGGGCTGCTGCACTCATTGCTCGCGTCGCGCCTCGACGGCATGCAAGACCGCGTGGACCGGCAAGCGCTGATGGCGGAAACGGCGGACCTCGTCGTACAGATACTCGACAAGCGATCCGCGGACGACGCCTTTGCGCACCGGTCGGAAGTAAGCGCGCTCCGCCGGCTGCAGCGCGAGGCGTTTCAGGACCTTCTGCGCGTGAAGGACCGCCTCCACCGCCTCGAGTTCCTCTCCGGAGTGCGCCAGTCCCCCGACGGCCGCTCCCCGCGCCCCTCCGCGGGGTCCGTGTATTCTGCCTCCGCCGCAGCCTTCGGCGCGACCGCGGGCGCGTTTGGCACGGGGATTGCTGGGATCGGCGAGGAGAGCGGCGTGTGGGGCGGGCTCGGTGCGGGCGCGGGGAGCGTGCTGGGGGGAGCGGGTCGGACGCGCCTGCACGGGGAGATCGCGGCGGGCGGGGCGTTCGTTCCGACGGAGGGCGCGCGCAGCCACAGCACGCGCGCGGCGCTGGAACAAGCGGGCATGCGATCGGGACTGACAGTGAAATTCAGATTCGATACGACCTGTCGCGACGACGATCTCCTGTCGACAGAGCTGACGGCCGGCCTAGGAGAAGACAGCAGCAGCTTCATGCTGGGCGGCCCCGTTAACATTCATAAGATCCTCTATAGTACTAAGTTATGCGACGGCGTGCAGCTCGCCGTGGCGCCTTTAGGAGCCGTTGGATCGGACATGGCGGAAGGCATGAACCCGCTCAAGGACCAGGGCCTCACGCGCTTCTCGTCCGGCGGAATCTCCCTGCACCGCCGCGCAAGGGGCTCCGCGCTCGCGTTCTCGCTGCGCAACTCCGCCGCGTCGTTCACCGCCGCGCAGTTCCTCTCCGGCTGGGGGGTTTCGCAGGACCCCGAGGGGGAATCCGCGGGGCTCTGCGCATCGTCACTGGCGCAACTGTCCCTCCAGCCCCAAGACAACGTCGTCCTATCTATGTCCGCGCTCAACCGCCTCTGGCCTTCCCCGCCGCTTCCCTCCGCCACGGGGCTCCACTGGAGCGAGATGGGCCCGCTCGTGGTGCCGAAGCTGCTGCCGTGGTTCGGCAAGCTGAAGAAGGCAGGCTCGGGGCGAAGCGCGGGGAGCGGGGACGCGAGCTCTGGGATGGGCGGAGCGGAGAGCAGCAGCGGGGTGGTGGGGCAGGAGCTGTGGCTTCCGCCGGATCAGGAGCCCGCGACCATGGTGCAGTCGGTGGCGGTGTCGGGCGCGGTGCAGCTCGGTGCAGCGACTATTGCGGCGTGGGCGCAGGCGGAGAACGGGGACTGCCTGGACGAGGACGCGCGGAGGAAGCTGCAGTGGTCCGTGTCACTGCTGGTGCAGGGGAAGGGCAGGGCGGAGGACGAGGCGGGGAACGGGGGAAGCAGTGCGAATAGGACGGGCGGGAAAGCCGGTGCGGGGAAGGGTAAGAAGGGGAAATGGACGGACAGGATTTCGCTGGGAGCGTGCATCGGGGGCACGCAGCCAGATGCGTTTTTCCTGGGAGGTGGCGCGGAGTCGAGCAGCACGGGGATGGTGGCGGGGGAGAGCGGGGAGGGGAACGAGGGGGGCGCGGCGGGCGCAGGGCAGGTGCAGGCGGAGGCGTTTATGCGTGTGAAGTGCGGGCGGGGGCTGGTGCTGCAGCCGGGGGTGGTGGTGGCGCAGAATGAGAGGACTGGGCGGCACACTGCGTTCATGCTGAGGTCATCCTGGGCCCTCTGAGAGAGGTAGTGTTCCTTGGGGGTTGGGAAGGGAAGGAAACGGGGGCTGTAGGGGAGGAGGGAGAGGGTGTGTTATGGCAGTGTGTTCATGACGGGTACAGGGTGTGACGTGCTGATGTGCAAAGAATAAAAGGGTGCAAATTTCAGGGACAGTGGAGATGAGGAGTCTTGTGTTGTGTGTGTGTGTGTCTGTGTGTCTGTGTGTCTGTGTGTGTCTGTGTGTGTCTGTGTGTGTCTGTGTGTGTGTGTGTGTGTGTGTGTCTGTGTGTCTGTGTGTGTCTGTGTGTGTCTGTGTGTGTGTGTGTGTGTGTGTGTGTGTGTGTGTGTGTGTGTGTGTGGCAGGGGGGGGGGTGGTATTGCAAGTGTGTGTGCACATGTTCATGTGCATGCATGATGTCGTGCATGCATACTACTGTGCATTTATTTGTGTGTATGTGACTGGATATGTCTGCGTACATGTGTACGTATAGGGATGAGTAAGAGAGTGATGTTGGGAAGGTAGAGCAAGGACTTGATGTTATTTTGCTGCTGCTTCTGTTTTTTATCTGGCATCCCTATTTCTTCCACCACTGCAGGACCTACGAAACTAGGCTACAGGGGTGGTTCAATCCTCACTATGACTCCACCCTCTTGCTGCTTCATCGAAATAACCACGATGGATCAGCCTCACCTAGGAGCTCTAACTTCAACACATGAAATGGTGCAGGGGTTTTTTGTTTTCTAACTGCTCTCTTTAGTTTGTGAAAACATTTTGTGTCAATTAGGGAACATTCCTGTGTCGACACAAATGTCTCAATCCCTTTAGTGTGGTTATCTTTGCTGCGTGGAGATATGATGTTATATTGTACCTGTATGAAGTAAAAAAACAGGGGCATTGTATCTGACTTGTTTAAGGATAAACTGCAACAACAGAGCATACCCCTTGCAAGTATGCACCAGCCAACCAGGCATGAAGGCAGTTGAGAGATGCTTGGTGATCTTCCACCATAAGAGGTGTTTCCAATCCAATGCATTTATTTTCTCATCTGCTTGCAGCGAAGCCGCGCTTGTGGAAAATACTAGCTGTTGGAATTCAGACGAGTCTCCTCGGAACGACAATTCAGCTGGGGACCAAGAACGAGTCACGCAGTTTGAGGGCAGTGTTGATAGAAAGCCTTGAGACATTTCCGAACACACCTTTCCCGACTCGGAGTGATTGAAGTACGCAGAGTATTATTGTTCATGACGCTGGAAAGGAGATGCGATTCGCGGCTCGGAGGGAGCAAGGCAGTGGGAGCTACTTGGAGATTAACTGGCGGCGCGTCGAGGCGTTGGGGGGGAGGGCGCAGGGCGGGCCCCGTGCCGCTATACTCTTACGGGTTACGTGACGCGTGGCAGCGCGAGAGCGGTCGCCGCACGCCGCTCTCATTCGCTCGCGCAGCAGGCGGCTCGCACGTGAGTCGTGTCGTGCTTGCTTGACGCTCTTACGTCTGTGCTCGTCAGCCCTCGCGTCGCTTGTTCTCGCAGTCAGAACCGACGGATTCCGTCAAAGGAGCTAATTTCCCGATGCTCCTGTGACCCGTCACCCTGTCCTTCCCCCGCTCCCATCTCTCCGATTCTTCTCTTACCCTCTTCGCACTCCCTTTCGCGCAACTCCCATCTCATCTCCTCGTTTCTCAGAATAGTTTGCTGCCCCTCCTTCTCCCTGTTCTCCCCCTTATATTCTTTTTCCTCCCTTCCTTTCCCCTTCCCCTTCCCCCTTCCCCCTTCCCCCTTCCCCCTTCCCCCTTCCCCCTTCCCCCTTTGCCCTCCCTCCTCCCTCCCCCTTCCCTTCCCTCCCCTCCCCTTCCCCCTTCCCCCCTTCCCCTCCCCCCATCCCCTCCCCCGTCCCCCCCTTCCCTTCCGCCCCCAGGCCCTGGTATCCCGTCTCACCCTGGCCTCCGTCCTCACCTCGCATCGCGGCTGTGTCAACACAGTCGCCTTCACCCCATCGGGCGCCCACCTGCTCTCCGGTTCAGACGACCAGCGCATCGTGCTCTGGGACTGGGCGGCCGCCAGGGAGGTGCTCAAGTGGCGGTCGGGCCATGGTAACAACGTGTTCCAGGCACGCGCCCTGCCATGTGGGAATGACCGGACCATCGTCACTTGTGCTGCTGATGGCCAGGTTGGTTGGGGGTTGGGGGAGGGGAAAGATGAGTATGTCAGGGGGAGGTTGGGGGCGACTTCGGTGGGAGGTCGGGGTGAGGTTCGGGGGAGGTCCAGGGGGGTTCTGGGGGAGGTCGGGGGGCTGGTAGGGCGGGCAGGGAGGTGCTCAAGTGGCGGTCGGGCCGTGGCCTTAAATTTGTTCCAGGCACGCGCCGCCGTGAGGGGACGACCGGACTGTTGTCACGTGTGCTGCTGATGGCCAGGTTGCTTTGGGGGTCAAAGGGGAGGATTCATGGGGTTGTCTGGTAGGCTGGGGGCGGGGGGATGGGGAGCGGTTGAGAGGTCTCGTTGGTGATTTTGATTTAGGAAAGCGCAGCAATACACAAACACCACGCTTATCTCCTCCAAAACCCCCTCTCGCTTCTTCCTCACCCCTTCCTCTTTCCCCCTTCCACCACCACCCGCACCCCCACCCCAGGTGCGGGTGAGTCTGCTGTCGGAGAGTGCAGCAGTGGGCACGGTGCGGTTGGCGAGGCACAGGGGGAGGGCGCACAAGCTGGCTGTGCTGCCACACTCGCCACTCTGCTTCCTCAGCTGTGGGGAGGATGGGGTGGTGCGGCATGTGCGTGGGGAGAAGGACGAGGGAAGGGGAAAGACGAGGGGTTGGAAAGAAGCGGGGAGAGAGCGAGGATGGCCTGTGTGTGGCAGGGGAGGGTGATTAATGTGGTATGTAGGGCTGATGTGGGATGGCGTTTGTGTGAGTGGTTGCGTGATGATGGGTGCAATGCAGCAAAACACAAATGATACGACATGTTACGATACAGCTAAGCGTCTGGGTAACAACCATCCCATCACCTGCTTCCTTTCCCTCCCTTACCCCTGCCCCATGTCAGTTCGACCTACGAGCTCCAAAGCCCAGCACGCGAGTCCTAACAGTGACCACCACACCCGCCATGCGAGCACGGCAGCCCCTGCCGCTCAACGCCGTTGCGCACAACCCCGCCCGCCCGCACCTCTTTGCTGTCGGGGGGGCAGACGAGTTTGCCCGCGTCTACGACTTGAGGAGGTGGGTGTGGTGGGTGCAAGTTGTTGGGAGTAGTGAGTAGTGAGTGGCTTGCTGGTGACTTGTGCTGTGTGTGCTTGTATTGTACTTACTCGGTCAGTCAGTGTGTGCTGGTGCTGGCGAGGCGACGGTTTACAAATGCACACGTGCACTCATGCTTGACATGCATGCACGCGCACACGCGCGCGCGCGCACACACACACACACACACACGCACACGCACACACACACATCCACCCCACCCATCTTCATACCTCTCCCCATTCATACCTCTCCCCATTCATACCTCGCCCCATTCATACCTCGCCCCATTCATACCTCGCCCCATTCATACCTCGCCCCATATCAGGTGCATGGCCAGCCGTGCCGCTCCCACACCTGCCGCCTGCACCTGTCCCTCGCCCGTGGAGACCTTTGCACCGCCCCACCTCATCAACACCAACCGCGATCGCCTGCGCCCTCCTGTAAGCATCACATACATACACCCAAAAGCGTGTGCGTGGTGCACCTAGTGCACTCGCTGTGTTTGTTTGTTTCCCTTTTCCTCCCGTTTCTCACTTCCCCTGGGTTCTCCTTTCATGTCTTCTTTTCCCTCCCCTCCTCTCCTCTCCTCTCCTCTCCTCTCTTTTCTCTCCTCCTCTCCTCTCTTTCACTCTCTTAACCCCTCTCCTTTTTCCACCTCATCCGTCCGTCCTCCCTACCCTATCCCACCCCACCTGTTCCCATCCCATCACCAGGTGCACATAACATGTGTCGCTTACTCCCCGTACGACGAGCTACTCGCCTCATGCAACGACGAGCTGATCTACCTCTTCCACCCGCACCACTCCCTGTCACCATGCCCCCCTTCCTCTTCTTTTCTTCATCCCATCACCAGGTGCACATAACCTGCGTCGCCTACTCACCACACGATGAGCTCCTCGCCTCATACAACGACGAGCTCATCTACCTCTTCCACCCGCACCACTCTCTGTCACCGTGCCCCCCTTCCCCTTCGTCTCTTCTTTTCATCCCCAGGTGCACATAACATGCGTCGCCTACTCCCCTCTCGACGTGCTTCTTTCCTCATACAGCGACGAGCTCATCTACCTCTTCCACCCGCACCACTCTCTCAACCCCATGCCCCTTTCCCCTCCTTCCCTTCTTCCTATCCCATCCCATCCCCAGGTGCACATAACATGTGTTGCCTACTCCCCACACGACGAGCTGCTAGCCTCATACAACGACGAGCTCATCTACCTCTTCCACCCACACCACTCCCTTGGCCCCGACCCTCTCTCCATGCCAACTGCCACTCGCACCACTGGCTTCCGGGCTTTAAGCACCACCACCACCAGCAGCAGCGGTCGCAGGGGGAGCAGCGGCAGTGGCGGTGGGGATGGGAGGGGCAGGAGTGGGAGCAGCAGCAGCAGGAGGCGGGTTGTGAGCAGCCTTGGTGGGGATTGGAGTGTTGGAAGGACGGGCAGCAGCGGGCGAAGTAGTAATGGGGGGGATGGGAGCCTGGGCGGGGGAGGGGAAGGTGGCAGCGGCAGTGGTGGTGGTGCTGTTGCTGCGTCTTCTCCTGCTACTCCTGGTGGTGGTTTGAGCGAAACTCGTCCTCGTCGACTCTCTTGGTTGCAGCGTACGTTTCATACAGCTACTGCCTCAGGGGCAGCGTCTGACACTGCTGCTATGCCTTCTGCTGATGCTGGTGGTGATTCTGGTCCGTCCCCTGCTGCTGCTGCGAGCGCTAATGCTTCTGTTTTTGCTGCTTCTGCAAGTGTCGGAAGGGAGGAGGCAGCAGTGTGTGGCAGGGGAGAAGAGGGGGATGGAGGGGCAAGAGAGATGGCAGATAAGAGGAGGCGAGAGTGTGATGCTACGGGGGGTGATAGAGGTGGTAGAGGGGGTGACAGGAGGGAAGGAGGTGAGGAGATGGAGGAGGGCGATGGGAGGGAGAGGGACAAGGGTGAGAGGGATGAGGGGGAGAGGTGGGGCGAGCAGATGCAGGAGGAGTCTCGAGGAAAGGTAGGGTACGGGCAGGTGGGCAGGGAGGGGCAAGGGGTAGCACACATGGCAGAAAACAATGAGGATGGGGAGGGGGAAGGTGAGGGGCAAGAGGGCGAGGAAGGGGAAGAGGAAGAGGAAGAGGAAGCAGTGGGTGCATATGGGGACAGGATAGAGGTGTACGCAGGGCATCGCAACGAGAAGACAGTGAAGGGAGTGTCATTCTTTGGGCCGCGGTGCGAGTACGTGGCGAGTGGGTCGGACTGCGGTCATGTGTTTCTGTGGAGGAAGGTCGGTGGACAGCTCGTCGCCATGATGCCTGGTGACGTGCATGTGAGTACAAGGGGGGTGGATGTTGAGTGCATGGGGGTTGGATGTGAGTGCATGGGGGTTGGATGTGAGTGCATGGGGGTGCATGTTGAGTGCATGGGGGTGCATGTGAGTGCATGGGGAGTGCATGTGAGTGGATGGTGGGTGCATGTAAGTGGATGGAGGGCTATGCACTACCTTTTCCTCTGTTGCGCCATTGCTCTCCTCAACTCAGCACTGTCTCCCCCCTCCTCCCCCCTTCTCCTCCCCCCCTACCCCTTCCTCCTCCTCTTCCCCCATGTCCCCATCCCTGCTTCATTTATCATTCCACCATGGTTCCACCACGGAATTCACTGCCCAAGAACTCAACATACCACAAAGGTTTTAACTCCATCCTCCCTCCTCCACCCCGTCCCATCCTCCGTTCCTCCGTCCGCCGTCTCCTCGTCTTTCCCTCCCTCCCTCCTCTCTCCCCTCTGTCCCTACCCTCCCTAACCTCAGGTGGTCAACTGTCTCGAGCCCCACCCATCAGCCACCATTCTCGCCACCAGTGGCATCGAATCAACGGTCAAGATCTGGGCTCCCACAGCAACAATTCCCAAGGGCCTGCCATCCAACGCAGAGAGCATTATGGAGGCAAACAAGCGGCGGCGCGAGCAGCCCTTTGGCGTGCCCAGAATGGCTGCTGATGTGGAGATCCCGAGGCTGCGCCTGCAGCGGCAGCATGCACAGCTGATGGGCCAGGACCGGGTGGCGACTTTTGGCAGCTTGCTGGCGCTTGCTGCTGCAGTGGGAAGGCGGGGGGAGAGGAGAAGAGGGGGAGAGGGAGGAGGGAGGGAAGGAGGGAGGGAAGGGGGGAGGCGGGGGAGGGAGGGGGGAGCGGTGGATGAGGGGAGGGAAGGAGAGGGTGCGAGGAGTAGGAGGAGGGTTACGAGTAACGGGGGGGGTGGGGGAGGTGATGCAGATGGGGATGGAAATGATGGTGGTATCAGTGGGGTAGGGAGGTTGGGAGGTGGGGAGGAAGGTGGTGGTCGCGACATTCAAACTTCAGATGCTGCAGAGGGTGCAGCAGATGTGAGCCTGAGAGAAGCACTGATTGCAAGGCTTGGTGAAAGAGCAGGCATCCGCGACCTGTTTCCCTTTCTTGAGGATGATTATAGCGAGGATGAGAGTGAGGACGAGGAGTTTGAGGACGGAGAGGCGATGGAGGAGGAAGACGAGGAGGAAGAGGAGGATGATCGGAGGAGGGGATGGCAGAGGTGGCGAGGGAGAGGGCGGTCTGAGTGTAGAGTGAGTTAAAAGAAAGATGGTTGATTGTACAGTGTATGGGTGGAAATAAAAAGGTGGATGGATGGATGTAGAGTAGATGCATGTTGGTCTTGTTTTGTCTCTATGCATCTCCCTCTATGTTTTGGAAACATTGTAAGGTGAGTTGATTGTGGTCCATCAGTTGTGTACACTGTGTTCCAAGCGTGGAAGCCAATATACAGTACTGCGCCATGCTAAACAAACACCACACTCCCTTTTGGGCCAACATCATAGACATGCAAATCAGTCTGGTAACCCTATTCGATGGTATGCAAAACCGTCGATACCCCAGTTCTGCTGCGCAAAATTGTCTGGTAGCGCCACTCAAAACACTGTAACAGCTGACGCAGCACAGAAAAGGAAGAAAATATGTGATAGAATCAGTTGCGTTTTCGATTTCTTATCTTCGTGGTTCTTCCCGCGTCTTGTTCGGCGCCTAACAAATATTCCTGCCGGCTACTATTTTCCGCTAAATGTGACGAAAAATCCACTGGAATGAAAGGCTACGGGGTCCATTTCGATAACATTAATTTGGACCAATATATTGCTACCGGGAAATGTAGGGGCAGGGCAGAAAAACAATAAAACCCCTAGCGACCTGGACGCATTTCTGGGAGGGATCAACCCTAAACACGGGAAAGGACATTGTTTTTAGGGTTGATGCCTCCCTGACGCATCCCTTTCCGATCGGGTTTTATTTTTTTCTTGGCCCGAAGAAATCACGTCTTAGCGCGAAGGCAAGCGCGGTAAAGATCAAATTTGAATTAAAAACGAACGCGCTATCAGGGCAGCATGTCAATAACTTGCAAACAGAGGTAAGACGGTTTTGCATACCATTGGATAGGGTTACCACACTAATTTGCATGTCTATGATGTTGGCCCCTCCCTTTTCCCCTCTAGCTGCTTTCAGTCGCCCCCCCACCAAGGAGCTTTTCCCTCTGATTCACTAGCGGCTTCGATTCTCCCATCTTGACGAGTAACTGTGCACGGCTCAGATCGTTGCACATCCCCGAATCGAGATCCATCCAGCAATCCAGCACCGTCTGGATTCCCCATGGATGAAACGAATTCAGGCGTCTATTGATCAACTTGAGCGGAGCCGGGAAGCCCGTTCCTGCCCACACCAGCATCGTCGTCTCTGCGTTTAGCCTGATAGGTCCCAGAGATCATTCCCGAGTTCTCGGCGGAACCATAACCTGCTGATATATTTTTCGAGCCGCCCGCGATGTCCGCTGCGCGGCTTACACCAAAGCAAGCGCGCAGGTTTATGGCGGCGTGTATGGCGGCGCCGGCGGTCGTTTTCGCGGTTCGGCTCGCCCTCACGGACGACGTGCGCGATCCGTTCCGCATGTACCGCAAGCTCGAGTCCCCCTCCGCGGATGTTGGTGCGGGCGCTGCGCCTGCTACCTCCGCGCACAGCCTAGAAGCAGCAGGCGGAGGCGGAGGGACGGGAAGCTCATAGACAGGGTAATCAGGCAACAAAATGCTCTCAATCTGTTTGCAGCGCAGCGTGTGCGAGACGAGGCGACTGGGGACGACCGTTGGCCTGTCTGGTTGCGCAAGCGGAGGAGGCTGCACCAGCTGGTGGAGTGCGACACGTGTGGTGCCCGTGTGACGCCTCTGACGAGTCTCTCCAAATGACACGTCATCCCTCCAAGGGTTTGTAATCTTGGTGCTTGTGGAGGATCGTGGCAGGCGCCTGAAAAGGGGCTGTGTGCAGCAGGCGATGTAGGTGGCTACTGGTTGGAAAAAGGAGACACTGACAGGGATTAGACATCCCAACATCTTGGGGGAGGAGAAACGGTGCATTATAGAAAAGGCGCTCTTTGGAATTGGTGGAAGCAGGGTGTAAGGGGGCAGCAGCTTTGCGGAAAAGAAGGAAGCAGCCTCTGGAGAGTGGGATATGCTTGTTGACTGTTTGCTAGAAGGGGTTGAGGTAGCCTAAGCTCGTTGGGTACGGTAATTTCTGTGTCATGTTTTGTTGAAGGTAGTGCCATCAAATTTACTTTCACATGCTTTCTGTACTAGCTGTCATTATGGAACAGATGCATTAGTTGATATTTTACCTTCTGTGGATTGTGGAAGATTTGCTATTAGCGAATACGCTTTCATTCTACAACGAGAGATTCCTTTCAATCGCGAAAACGAACGGCTCTTGTACCCACCTTCGCGCCAAAAACGTTTCGTCGATTGCCTCCGAATTCCAATTCTACGGGACCCGCATCGCCGCGCTGGACCGTCACCCCACCTCACCCGTCCATCCCAAATTCGTCTGACATTCAAGGGTATCGCGCTCCGTCCCACTCACTCACTCTGTCGACCCCAATTCCGCCGCCATTCATTTCTCCCTTCTCGTTTCTCCTCAGCATCCAAGGCACTAAGGGGTGGGAAATGCTAGCTGGTTCACTCCAGCAGTGAGCACTCTCCGCTGGTGATAAGACCAATTCTGCTTGTAACGAGCACTCTCCGTCCGATCCGACTGGCCTACTCATTCATAGTCTAACGGAGTGTCGGCGCGCCATTCATCCCACACGGCTTGCGCTTCGGCCGTTTTGGAAACGGCAAGCTAGTGGACCGCAAAACACCCTGTCGCATAGCATTGTCGCATTCTAGCAACTTTGCTGAGCACCGACCGACATTGGCCGACCGAGCCCACTTGCGTCCTTCTTTTAGAGTTGCTAAAAAATTGTGCGACCATTGACTGTAATCTTCGAAACGCTGGAATCAACACCTTCGCTTACTAACATCGTCCTCTTTAAACTTCGGCGCTAACCTTGTAATAAGATATTTTCACTACACAATCGCGCGACATCGTTCCCTTTCTGTGCGACAAGGTCAAAGACCTCTCCAGCCTTCGCGAAATACAGGCAACTCTCTCGACGCGCAAGGCAGCCAGCTAGCCGACAGCAAATCAAGGCAACGCGAGCCTAAGATGGCCCGTCGCCGGGCCGTCTTCGGGTCGCAGGCAAGCTTCACGTCGTCGCTCGTCGCACTCGCCGCGGTTCTCATCTCCGTGCTTGTCGCCACGCCTGCCGTAGTAATCGCAGGACCAGTCTGCGACTACGCCAATGGAACGTGAGTCTCGTTGGGATGACTTTCGAGTCGACTCAAAACCCTGTTTCGTCGATGCGTCAGCCCTTCCCAGCCCTGTTTCTGACATAGATCGCTCCGCGTCCGCGCAGCTAAATCCTTTTCCGCACGGTTCACTCTCTCTCTCGTCTTTACTCGTCTCGTCTCTGCCGCAGGTGGGTGCGCGCGGAGGGCTACGCGGCGCAATACACGGGGAAATCGTGCGCTTACGCGGGAAAGACGCGCAACTGCGAGAAGAACGGGCAGACGAGCTTCGACTACCGCAACTACAAATGGGTGCCGGGACAGCCGGAATGCGCGCTCTCCAGGTTCGACGCGCCGTCGTTCCTGTCGCTGCTGCGCGGCAAGGTGGTGGCCATGGCGGGCGACTCCATGATCAACAACCTCTTTGAAGCCATCCGATGCCTCGTCAGCACCGCCACTCCCGCTCCGGTGCGTGCGTGCTGCTCGTGCTCCCTCGCTCGCGTCGTTGTCTCCAATGACTCTCTTGACTTCCCGCCTCGGAACCCCTTCGTCTCCTCAGCACTGTAGTGCGTTTGCGTTTACATACATACAAAAGCACAAATCACGCACAGAATTCCTAAGATTGGGCAACTGACGCACCACTTTTCCAACCTCCACCGCCTCTTTCTTCCATAGCTTTTCCTTTCCCCCGCCTTCACCTCCCGTGTGCCCTTCCCGCCGGCAGGACTGGGAGGGGTCCTTCCCCGGTGTGACTGGCGATTATGAGGTGTTCGAGGTACCCAAGTACGGCTCTAAGTTCATTCGGATTCAGGACCCTTTTCTAGTTGACTCCAAGCACGCGGTACGTGACTGACTAGCAAGGCTGCTGCTTTTTATTTATATCTTATTACATATATCGTTTTTAATTCGCTTCCTGAGGCGTTTTGTGAAGCACGAGGTGAACACCCAAGGAGTGCTTTGTACCACTTCTCTGTCTGCACGTATCGCCCTCTTCGTTCCCCATATTTTGCCATCAGGGCACGTCTGACAGTTCGAGTGCCACGTGGACCATCAACCTGGACAAGCCGTCCCCGCAGTGGGCTTCTCTTCTCACGACAGCGGACGTGTTCGTGTTCGCCCACGGCCACTGGTTCGACAATGTGAGCGCCACCCCGCTCCCACTGCTCGCACACCTTGCACCGCTCGCTCGCTCACCTTACTCCTCCTTTCATGCGCTACCCTTTGCCTACCTTTGTCTCCTGTACCACCGATCTCTCAAGCTCCTCTCCTTCTCCTTTTCCTCCGGCCCTCCAACAGGCTCCCGCCAGCAAGCGCCTGCTGTATCAGAAGGGCCAGCCTGTGCAAGCAGACCAATTCGAGGCGGCCCGTCTGTCACTCATCACAGTAGCCAGTTACCTCACTAAGAGCAACTACAAGGGCCAGGTGTTCTACCTCACTTACTCTCCCAGACACTACAGCTCCGCGTTCAAGACTAAGGGCATGGGCTGCGCTAAAGCCACCGCGCCTTTCACTCCGTCTGAAGGGGACTATGCGATGGGTAAGTCCAAGGAGGCTCCGTATCTCACGGCGCAAAAGGCGGCTTTAAAGCCGTATCCTGCTGTGCGGGTATTGGATATTTTCCGGATGGCGTTACTGAGGCCAGACGCACACGTGGGACCGTGGGATGGGAAGAGCGGGAACGGGGACGACTGCTCGCACTGGTGCGAGCCGGGGTTGCCGGATATCTGGGCTGATTTGCTGTTTAACGAGCTCAAGAACAGTGGAGGAGATGTGATTTCGCAGCAAGACAAGAGCGGGACCAGCAGCACTACCAGCAAGTCCAAGTCAAAGTCCCCTCCTCCATCCAGTTCAACCAAATCCTCTTCTTCTTCCTCCTCCAGCTCCCCTTCCTCAAAGCCCTCTCCCCCCTCCTCCTCCTCCTCTTCCTCCTCTTCCTCCTCTTCCTCCAAGCCTTCCTCTTCCTCCTCTTCCTCGTCTTCCTCCAAACCCTCCTCTTCTTCCTCCTCGACTTCTAAAAACACCCCTCCAACACTTGCCCCATCTTCTGCCAAGCCCGCTTCAGCGAGCAGCAAATTGGGCAACACGAAAGGCAACAAACGGCTGGAAAAGACAGAGAGCAGCAGTGCAGGGAAGAAGAGAGCTGCAGGCAGCAAGCATGCCCCGGCTCCTCCCAAGCCCGCTTCGACAAGCAGCAAATCAAGCAGCAAGTCAAGCAGCAAGAAACGGTTGAAGACGACCAAGAGCAGTGCAGAGCACAAGGGAGTTGCAGAGAGCAAGCAATCAAAGACGACCAAGAGCAGCAGTGCAGAGCGCAGAAAAGCTGCGGAGAGCGAGCTTTCAAAGTCATCTGAGTCGAGCAAGAAGTCATGCAGGGCCAACTGCAAGGGGGTTTTTTAGAAAAGCCGATGGCCATGGTACGTCTTAGCGTCCAAACACTCACTGCTCGACAGCAAAGTAGGTAGTAAATTATAGCGATGTACTGTGTACAGCTTATAGTGGGTAGGTACACGCTTCGTAGGTAATTCAATCATTGTGCTGCTTCGGAATAAAATTTTCTTGCAGTAAATTATACCGTATGAATGGTTCATTCGAGTAGGAACATATTGCTGGTTTTTATCATTGTCGAACTGAGGGTACGTTCCTGGCTAGTGTCAAGCTTCCGGTCATCCGCGGATGACCGGAAGTTGGACCCACTTTGGGCCATCCGAGACCAACTTCGGGTCTTCCGGCCAAAAATTGCCCCTGTTTCTGGAAGATCTTAAGTTTGACAGGAAGTTTGACCCAAGGCTTCGGGCCTTCCCAGGAAAGCCCGAAGCTTGACACTAGACAGGAACGTACCCTGAGTTATGGCTGCTGGCTACATAAGAAGCATATTTTAGAATGGACCATTGCGCTCGTTGTTTAGGGAGTGTCCAGCGCGTACGCTTACAGGTACTATACAGTTCATTCATGGTGGTTTAAAAGGATATCAAGCGGTGCACAGCGGTTTTAAAATTCCACCGTTTTGAACCGTGACGCATCACAGATTACCGCACTCGATGAACTGTACTGTACGGAAAATGTACGCGTTGGACACCCCCTTAGCCCGCCAAAGCCTGCAACAGAGGTCGCGAAGAGAAACAACCCTTTCAAAGCATCTTGGTTGCGGGAATCGCCTCGCACTAATTAGCTTCCTGGGCTACAACTACCGAACTCCTCTGGCTTGAATCCACCGTGCCCAGTCTCGAAGGACATACAGTAAGTTTTAAAGAAGTTTGTTGAAAAAATAAGTTTGTTGTGCCTGGGAACCATGCAGAGAGTGCACATTTGTATGGCTAGCCATATTGAAGGTCCCATAAAGGCCTAACGGATGCCAAACTGAACCGATCTCGCCAAAGACCAACAATCGTGCTCACGAGCTGCTCGAGATTCCTCCGCTGCTCCTTGCTCCCTGGGCACGTGCAATCTCCATGCTGAGGTTGACATTCTCGGAGCTCTCGAGCTCGCGGTCAATGCGCGCCGCCATGCGGTCCTCGTCCTGCCCGAGAAACTCCTCCTTCATGACGAGCAGCTCGCCGAGCACGCGGCTGATGGAGGGGCGCGAGGCGGTGGGCATGGCGGTGCAGCGCAAGGCCAGGCGGGCCATGCGCAGCACCAAGTCGTCCGGCGCCTCCAGCTGCGGGTCCTTGATGGCACCTGCATCGCCGGCGGCTAGCAGTGGAGCCACCCACTGCTTGAGGTTGATCTGATCTGCCTCCGCGTTGTAGATGGCCTTGCGCGCTGTGATGAGCGTCAGCATCACCACTCCGAAGCTGCGAGCGAGAGCAAGTACACACGCATTAGGCACAACGACATGGCAAAGTATGGTAATTCTAAAAGAGCAAAAGATGACTGCGAATACCTGTGCACGTCAGCCTTGGGCGTGGCCTTCTGTGACTTGTAGTAAGCCGGGTCCACATAGCCCGGTGTGCCCATCACCCTCGTGGCAATCACCGACGTGCCCTCGCCATGCCTCACCAGCCCAAAGTCCGCTATCTTGGGCTGCAGGGGGCGGAGCCCGAGAAAAATAAATCCCACTGAAGACTAGTTGATGATACACAGGGAACATCACTCTATGGACGACTGGCAGCTGCAGACATAGAAGGAAGGAGGGTTAGCAAGTAGTAAACGTTGGTGTCCACTGACTGACCTGCATGTTGGTGTCCACTGACTGACCTGCATGTTGTGGTCGAGCAGGATGTTGGCGGGCTTGATGTCGCGGTGCACGATGCCAAAGCTGTGGAGGTACTCGAGGCCGCGGGCCATGCCGATCAGAATGTCCACCCGCTCCCGCGCTAACAGGGCGTGGGGGCTCCCTGCACGCACGCATGGGATGCGCATGAAGTTCTCATGTATGCGCGGCACAAAAGAAGTGTCAATGCACAAAAAAAGCATGGATGGGACGCGCATGGAAGTGCAACAAGTGTCAAACCTTTCGAAAAAGAGTCGACACTAAGCTGAATTTGCATCAAGATTGACACGGCAAGGCAGGCCAGCATGGTGGCGTCAGCAGTGAGAAAAAGGCTCACTGAGACCGATCCAGAGAGCCTTCAAGGGTAGTGTGGGGCTCACTCGGGCCGATCCAGCGGTCGAGGTCGCCGTTGTCAACAAACTCGTAGATGACGATCTGCTCCATGCGCTCTGTGTCTGGACTGATGTCAAAGCAGTACCCCAACAGCCGCACCAGATTCGGATGGCTCTTTGTTGCCATCTCGTTCACCTGCACATTGATAGGGAAAGGGGAGAGGGTTGAGGAATGAGGCATGAAGGAGTGGACGCAAAAGCTGTTGGGACAACCAGCACTAAACATGCTAATAAGCTCGTGAGGTCAAGACAGTGCGCAGCATACCTCGCGCATGAAATTGTTGGTGAGGACCTTGCCTAATAATTAATCACCGAGATATTAGTAAGCCTATGACATCGAGGGTGTGCTACGCACCTCGCGCTTGAAGTCGTTGGTGAGGACCTTGGCGCGTTTGACGGCCCAGATCTCATGGGGAGCGGTGGGGTTGGCGCCCCTGTACACATCCCCGAAGCTGCCGCTGCCAATGCGACTCGCCTCCGCCCACTCGCCCGTCGCTGCCGCCACCTCCGCCAGCGAGTACACACGGCACACCAACGGACGTGCCTCTGCCACCGCTGCTGCTCCCACACACCCTGCTGTTGCACCCGCTGCTGCCGCTGCCGCCGCTGCACCGCCTCCTGCTGCAGCAATGGCTGCTGCGTGTGCTGCTGCTGCCTCGGCAGCGGAATGACCAGCAGCTGCCTGCCAAGGCCACCTCCACCCTCCTCCTGCTCCTCCTGCCCCTCTTGCCACAGCCGCTACTGCTGCTGCAGCAGCTGCTGCTTCTTTTCCTTCTCCTGCTGCTGTTGCTGTTGCTATGTTGGCTGATGATGCTGCTGGTACTGCCAGTGTATCATCCCCTGCTGCTCCCTCTGCGCCACCACCACTGCTCTTTTTGAACATCCACCATCCACTGCCACTCTCCACCACAGCAGCCTTCGCCTCTCCCCCCTCCTCCCTTTCCCCTTCACTGCCTCCGCCTTCCATCCTCTCCACCTCCTTCTCTTCCTTGCTCTCCTTCTCCCGCCTCTCCTTCTCTCTCTGCTCCTTCACGCGGATGTAAGTCAGGTAGACAGCCACCAGCAGCACAGGCAAAACGATCACAGACGCAACCACAATGCCTGCGATGTCTGCTGAGGAGATGTCTTGTCTTTTGTATCTCGTGGTTGCCACTGGACATACCAGAGCAGAGAAGAAAAGGATCAAAGTGAAAAGAGGGGCAGGATCGCACGAGCAGTGAGATTCGGAATGCGAGTGGTGAACTAGGTGATGCGAAGGTTGATCAGAAAAAGCACGTGGAGAGATTGGAGCCAAGTCGGCATGCAGTCAAACGAGCTTGCAGGAGAGCGAGCGGGCAATTAGTTGGGCATGACATCATGGCTGCAACGTCTGGATCCATGGACAACCAGCAGGGTGGATGATAACTGCTCAGGTGCCTTTTGAGGTGCTTATGAGGTGTTTTAAGGGTGTTTTCTTAGGTGTTTGTGAGGCGTCTCTAAGGTGTTTCTAAGGCGCCTTTCAAATGTACGCACTCTGTCTGGGTTGTATGCGGCATGCAGACGTACTGCTAGAAGGGTTGCAGGTGGCACAGAAGACCGTGCACAGGCGGCAGAATGGAGAGTCGACATATTGGGCCACCACACAGTCTCCCTCGTTGACAGGACACGTGAAGTTATCCCAGTCGATGTTCCTGCCAGGGGATGATTGTGGAGGAGTGCACGTGCCATGACGAGGGGAGGGAGGGCGGGCACAAGTATTGAGAGACAGCTGGTAAAATGCTCTCAAGGCCGGGAGATGGTAGACCGCATGACTAAGTCATTCTCACTGCCCAGAAGTGAACTCTCGCTGCCCTCTATATGGCCATCGCTCTCGCTCCCCATTCTCACTCCCCCACATTTCTCCCCCTCTCCTCTCGCCCTTCCTCCCTCCCTCTCGCCCCTGTTGCATGCCCAATCCAAACACGTTTCAGTGCGGCTCTCACAGTGTGTAAATTTTCCCCAAGGACGGAGGAAGGGTGCCTGACAGCTGGTTGCCTTGGAGTTGTCTGGGAGAGAATGAAAAGTAACAAGGGACAAGGGGCACGGAAAACCCAGGGGAGATTGTTGGACGCTTTCATGATGGGTGAGACTGAAAGGATTGTTGAAGAGCAGTATGACTCGATTTTCGAAATCAATGCTGCGTACGAGTTTCAAGCGTACGAACAGATTTAGGTAGTCGTAGGCCAAACCGGTCCTCAAGATTTCAGGAATGCTGCCAGTGAGCTGATTCTGTGAGAGGCCTCTGCAGGTACGACATGTGGATACGGGAAACACGAGAGGGCATATTCAAGGCTCGGCCTCTTTTGTGCAAGTGAGAAAGTCGAGTGAGAAGCCTCTGCAGGTACGACATGTGGATACTTGTCAACAAAGTCGTCAAGAGTGAGAAAGTCGACAATGCTTGTATGGGGAATGCAAGGCAAAGATGCGATGTCTCCTGTGCTTCTCTCCTGTAGCTCGCACCCCAGAGCACGCTTACAGGTAAGAGAGGTATGGGAGCTGCATAATGCCTGAAGGAATGCTGCCACTGAGCTGATTCTTCCACAGTTCACTATGCACAAGATGTTGGGAGAGAGAGAGAGAGAGAGAGAGAGAGAGAGAGAGAGAGAGAGAGAGAGAGAGAGAGAGAGAGAGAGAGAGAGAGAGAACGTCACAGAGGGAGAAGAGACAGGGCAGAAAGAAGGCGATAAAGTTGAAAAGCCTATGAGGAAAGTCTAGAAAAGAGGAGCCGAATCACAGCCCTTTGTAACGAGGTCAAGATGTAGCTTTGAGGCGCCTCAAATAACGAGCGCGGACTCACAGCTTGCATAACTTGGTGAGGGTGGAGATAGAGTCTGGTATAGTCCCCATGAGCTTGTTGTTCGCCAGGGACCTGCCATGGCACACAGCAGCATGGACAAGGAAGTGTGATTGAAGTGAGATGGAAGCACCCCCGAGGACACCCGTGGGCATGTGTGCAATGAGAAAGAGTGGTGGTGGTGAGAGGGACAAGGGGTGGCGATGGTGAGAGGGACAAGGGGTGGCGATGGTGAGAGGGACAAGGGGTGGCGATGGTGAGAGGGACAAGGGGTGGCGATGGTGAGAGGGACAAGGGGTGGCGATGGTGAGAGGGACAAGGGGTGGCGATGGTGAGAGGGACAAGGGGTGGCGATGGTGAGAGGGACAAGGGGTGGCGATGGTGAGAGGGACAAGGGGTGGCGATGGTGAGAGGGACAAGGGGTGGCGATGGTGAGAGGGACAAGGGGTGGCGATGGTGAGAGGGACAAGGGGTGGCGATGGTGAGAGGGACAAGGGGTGGCGATGGTGAGAGGGACAAGGGGTGGCGATGGTGAGAGGGACAAGGGGTGGCGATGGTGAGAGGGACAAGGGGTGGCGATGGTGAGAGGGACAAGGGGTGGCGATGGTGAGAGGGACAAGGGGTGGCGATGGTGAGAGGGACAAGGGGTGGCGATGGTGAGAGGGACAAGGGGTGGCGATGGTTGAAAGGGAAATAGAGTTCTTGAATAGACCCTACTCTCGTTGGAACAATTAGCATTGGGCTATTGATGTGAGATTGGTGGATTGGTCCATCTATCTACTTGCTCGGTCAAGATGTTCCCAAAGCAATGTATGGTGTGCATTCCAGAAGTCAACGTCCATAAACCAAACGACAAGGGACCGCCTGCTCTCAAGCAGAACACCAAGATTTTGATGCAAGCATAAACACTCGCAATCCAATGGTAAACGTTTACCAAGAGAGTTGCCTTCAAGAGGACATGGTTAGCAATTCGAGATGAGTGCATACGCATGCACTATGCCTAGCACTATACATAAATTCCACCTATAAACTTCGGACTTTATGTGTATGGTTGCCTCTAAAATGTCTAAATTAGCTGCAGCCCTAGCTGCGTTCCAACATTTGCCACGGCCACAGCCGTGGTGGCAGCCTCCTTTCTCTACCAGCCCGGCCTACTTTTGAGTTGCTCTGGGCGCCTCAAGCAGGCCCGTCTCCTCGTCCGCTTGTTGCGCCTGCTTGGCGGCTGCTTCCTTGGCATTCATCTCGTGCATCTTGACGCGGTTGTACCAGCAGACGCCGGCGAAGGCGAGGAGGTAGCCGAGGAGGTTGAGGGTGGTGATTTGGTCGGCAATGACGGACCAGGAGAAGGCGATGAGCAGCCAGTCCTTGACGATCCCCGCCACGTTCATCGTCAGCGCCGACGTCTTGCCGATCAGCAGGAACACCGCCAGGTTCAGCGCGAACGCGCACACGCAGTTGGCGCCGAACACGAGCGCGCTGGGGTGCGCGCCGGCCGCCATGGCGGGGACGAGCGTGGGGAACTCGACGAGGAACCAGGGCACGGAGAGGAAGAGCAGGCAGACGGGCGAGATGTAGTAGAGGCTCGTGATGGGGTTGAGCGAGATGCCCTTGGCCGTCAGCAGCATCTGGATGAGCACCAGGCGCGTCGCCTCGAACGCCACGGCGGCGAGCTGCAGCAGCACGCCCGTGGCGTTGAAGTTGGCCTCGCTCCACGCGCTCACGGCGACGCCAATGGCGATGAGAAGCATGTTGGCGAAGGTGGCGGCGCGGAAGGCGTCCTTGCGGAAGGCGACGGCGAGCAGGTAGACGGCGACGGGCATGAGCGCCTTGAGCATCTGAATGAAGGACACGGACAGGTACATGTACGCCGAGTTGGAGAACCACAGGCTCAGCGCGTACAGCGCGCCGATGGGCAGCACGCTGGTGCAGTAGATGTCGGGCTTGAGCCCGCCGGGCAGCGGCTGCACGACGCGGAAGACGTTGACGAGCAGGAAGGCGAGCGACGAACAGAACGCCATGTGCACCATCGTCAGACTGCGCAATCGGCAAGGCGGGGGAAGGGGCGGAGACAGGGGCAGGGGGTGGCGGAAGACAGAGGCGCGGAGGATGAGTTCGAGGAATGCAGGCGGGGCGGAAGGGGCGGAGACGGAAGGGGGTGGCGGAAGACAGAGGCGCGGAGGATGAGGGCGACGCGGAAGAATGCAGCAGGATGCCAAGGAATGCGGGAAGGCGACAGATTATATTTTCAAGCTTCTAGCTTTGCAGAAAATATCGTTTGATTGTGGTCGCGAATTCTCCGCCTAGAAGCGCTCACCTGATGGGAAACGGCCAGTTGAGCAGTCGTCTGTCGAGAATGTATTTGTTGAAGATGATAACGGAGAAGCTTAAAGCGATCCAGAGCAGCACGCTACCCCCCATGACCAGCTTCTTGGTCAGAAGGCTCTGCTGCGCCGCGGGCTGCTGCGCGGGGCTCTGCGGGGACGACATGTCGCTGGCGTTGGCGGTAACAGTCGATTAAGGACGGGGATTGGCGATGCGGAGGATCAGGCTTGCTGGAATGTCTGGAGAGCCGCAAGTTGAAAAACGCTCCGCTCCGATTGTTCGCGAGTCAGTTGACGAAATTTAAGATCGGAGCGTGGCCACTAGCAACGGGGGAAAAAATGGAGTTCTCGAAGGCGTTGTGGTGTTATTCGAAGCAGCGGGTTCTAGATTGGCAGGATATTTAGTAGCTTGGCTCGAGCCAAGATGCTGCCGTATCGGTTGCAGATGCGAGAAGGGGCCGGACTGACTCGAGATGGGCAAATGCTGCTGGAGCGATGTATTCGGGTTGAACCGTCGCCCCTTTTGTGCGAATCCCACCGCAGCCTGTGTTGGGGGGAGAGGGAACAAGAGCTTCGTTTTCGGTGAGGCTAGGCGGAAAGCGGAGGGGATGTGTGGTGGAGGGAGAGGAGGGGGAGCTGAGTCGCGTCGCGAGAGGTGAGGTAGGGTGATGTGGCGACATGGGATGGGGTGGGGGAGGGGAGCGGACGGCTGGATGGTCGAGTAGCACGCGGTTCAGCTGCAGACGGCCCGCCCGTGTCGCGTTGAGGTTCAGGTCAGTTTCTGGCGAATAAAACAAGAGGGCACGGTTGATGGATAAAGGAGGACTCACTATTGCAAAGCGTTTCAGGAGGAATGGACCGACGATATGAAGTAGACAGATATGGAAAGCAGGGTTTAAATAGTAAATCTCTAGCTGTCAAAATGCACATCCTTTTGGTCGGCAACCGAAATTTCGTATATAATTCTGCAGCAGATTAACATTTTGTTACAAATAAACACATGTAAAAATGTCATTTACCGTTAACATTTTGTTGGATTCAAAGTTTTTGCATCCAGCCCGTGTAACTCCTTTCCTTTGCCTTCAAGGTCGAAGCTTGACAACGATTCCTCATTCTATTGTGCATAGACACTTATCACTATGGTCGTACTTTAGCCAGGGTACATTCTTGAAGCTCGGTACAAAAGCTTCGTATCTTAAAAGATGAGATAGTGCGGTGGAAACGTTTTATACTTAGGGTACATTCCTGTGTGGACACAAATGTCTCAATCCCGAAACAAAACCTATATATTGTTGGGCTGAGGGTAGCCCTTAGGATCTTTGCAGAGAAGAACTCTGAGTAGGATGATATTGTAATAGCGGAAGCTTAATGAGAAAGTTGTGAACCACCTTGCTCTAGTATGTGAGGGCAAAGTAGATTGATTACAGCGAAGAGATACAAGATTAAATAATAGTACAAGGAATATGAAGAGATACGGTTATCACTACTTTTACTGTTGCTGTTGCGGTTCGATACAGTACGACTCGGGCAACTGCTCTGTAGCGAGTCAGTTGTGTGTCCTTAACAGGCCTTCAGATTGGTTTGGGGGTACACTGAGGCCTCAGGGCAGTTTTTAGGAAATCAGAATTTGCCCTGAATTGTCAGGGCTGCAAAAGGTTATGTATCCTGAAATGTCAGTGCGAAATTTGACTGTATCCTGGCAGTTCAGTGCTACATTTCGTACAGCCCTGTACGTTTCGCGCGTGTTATGTTAGCGGGGATCGAAATGCTCTCCACATTCGAAGTGTGTGATGCTGGGGTGCACTACATAGAAAAATAGCACAAGAAAAACGTATTCTGCGAGTTATTTCGCGTGAAGTGTTGTAGTGGGTGAGGTGCCAGTCTGTAACACAAGAGGTCTCCAGCTCGATTCCCGCTGCCTTCGAGAGGTCTGTTCGGGGTGCACGCACTAGTACAATTTTAGGCCCCGAAACGTAGGAGAGGTTTGGTACAGTACATCTCGCTTCAGGGCGAGATTCGACACTATCCTGAGTCGTCAGGGCCGAACCTACAGGGTTATCCTGAAGTTTCAGTCCGCAATATAACCATTATACTGATCTTACAGGACAAGATATTCCCTTATGCTGTTTTTTCAGGAGAAGCACACGTTACCTATCCTGAATTCAGGAGAATCAGGATAAATTATCCTGATAACATAGGCCCTGGTCCTTAACTGTCGCGCTGTACTTGTCAGGTCAAAGGTCGCTTGACCTTTGACTTTCGTGTAACCTCCAGCAACATCTCAACCTCTGAGGGTTGACTCGCGCGTGCTTCGGTATGATTCGCCTCGCTTCAGGTACGGTGTTTCAACACGACAGAGGCGCTTATTGTCAGAATCCCAGCCACTAACCACTGGGATAAAAGGGCTTGTTTGTATAGCGGGTGAGTGCGCCCATAACCCCCCAGGCCGACATGCCTGTAACCCTTCCCTAGGATCATCGGGGATCCGCAGGTCGTCCACCCAAGAAGCGTCCGAGTGACCAGTGAGGACAACTCTGTCGCGTCCTCCAAGCACCAGCCCCATGCCTGATGTACTGCACAAGTAACGCAGCACCCTCTTAGCAGCCTCCCAGTGCTCTCGCCTGTGTCTCCCAGGCGCAACGTAACGAGCAAGGATGCTAAGTGGGTACGCGAGGTCAGGTCGCGTGCAAGTCATCAGGTACATGAGGCAGCCTACAAGCTCTGGGTACGGGCCACTCGGCTCTACGGACTCGTCCGAAGGTGGAGCTGAGAGCGAGTGGCTGGTAGCCAGAGGTGTGGCCTGTGGTGAGGAGAACTGGAAGCCGAAGCGCTGAAGGACCTGCTGCACCATGATTGACTGAGTCAGGGTGATGGTGCGGCGAGCTCTGTCCCGGGTGATCTGCAAGCCAAAGTAGCTGCGCAGTTCACCCAGGTCAGTGCAGGTGTGTCTCTTCTGCAGCTCCGACTTCACGAGGGCGAGCGAGTGCCTCAGTGTCAGCAGTAGCAAAGACCAAGTCGTCGACGTACACGAGAATGTAGAACGGCGGTAGCGACGTGTCTGTGCGTAGAAACAGCGACGGGTCAGCAGTAGACGGTGCTCAGTGTGTCGTGCCACTCACGTGGCGCCTGGCGGAGACCGTAGACTGGCCGGTGGAGGCTCCACTGGGTACCAGGAGGAAACGACCCAGTGAAGCCAGGTGGGCGGCGCAGCCAGATCTCCTCGTGCAGGCTGCCCTGCAGGAACGCTGTGCTGAAGTCAAGAGAGTGAAGCTCGTAGTCACGCTGAGCAGCAACGTGTAGCAGAACCCGAAGAGTGGTCATCTTCGGGGTGGGGGAGAAGGTCTGGAAGAAGTCAACCCCCTGACGCTGACTGAAGCCTCTAGCAACGTAACGAGCCTTGAAGACAGGTGGAGAACCTGGCGGCCGCTTCACCCTGAAAATCCACATGCCATCGACGATGTTCGCCCCAGGAGGGGGAACCTCGTCGACGTAGGTGCTTGTGGACTTCCAGGATGCCATCTCTGCGTCCATGGCTGTCTGCCACTGAGAGGAGTAGGGACCCGAGATCGCCTCTGCGTAAGAGCGCGGAGTGGGGATGTCTAGTGCATCCGGGTCTCCCTCAGGGGCAAGCAACCAGGCCACGAGATGAGGTACAGCAGCCGCAAGAGAGTCAAAGTCCTCCTGCCTGTCCTCAAGGACGTCCGTGCCAAGAGCACACTCACCCCCGACGGACGGAGGACAGACAGACTCAGACTCAGTAACAAGACTGGCGGCGTAGTCTAGACGACAGGCAGCAGCAAAGTCGACAAGCTCAGCGACCAGGGCAGACGCAGCAGCAGACTCAAACGACGGGTCAGTGACAACAGTGGCGAGAAGACGCGTAACAGTAGGGTGGGCAGCACGAACACTGTCAGACTCAGGGTCGGGAACGTCAGGAAGAGAAGACGCAGGAGGAGACGGTAGGGGGACACGCTGTGGACCAGTGGAAGGACGAAGGGCCATAATATGCGTGCCAGGAACAGGAGGAGGACGCGGACGCGCGACACGACGACCAGTTGAACCAGTGCGCGCAGTGCGAGCAGCGCGAGCAGCGCGAACAGGCGAGGCAGGACGAGACGCAGGCTCGCGACGCTCCGTAAGCGAGTCCGGCTGTGCAGTGTAAGGCACAGGAGCAGGGAGGGGGGAGCCAGGCTGAAGGGGAAGGCCAGTGGAAGACGGGAGGGAAAGAACCTGGCGAAGCACCGTGTCAGGCGGCGGCAAAGCCGACGGCGATGGAGGAGCGAAGAACAGGCGCGCCGGCGGAGCTCCGCCAGCACCTCCAGCACCCGCAGCACCAGAAGCACCTGGACCAGCACCCTCCGCCGCAGCACCCCCCGAGTCGGCGACGTCAGCACCAGAGGCCCCAGCAGCGTCAGACCTCCTCTAGCCAGCACCTCCAGAACCAGCAGGACCACCGTGTCCAGAACCGTCAGCTCCAGTGTCGTCAGCTCCAGCAGCTCCAGTACCGTCAGGAAGAGCACCCCCAGACGCAGCAACCCCAGGCTCCGTAGGCTCAGCAGCAGCACCCCCAGGCCCAGTACCCTCAGGCGCAGTACCCCCAGGCTCAGCACCCCCAGACTCCGTACACGCAGGCTCAGCACCCCCAGTCGTAGCACCCCCAGGCTCAGCACCCCCAGGCGCCGAACTCCCAGGCACAGTACCCTCAGCTCCAGCACCCGCAGTCCCAGCACTCCCAGGCCCAGCACCCGCAGGCTCAGCACCCCCAGGCTCAGCACTCCCAGCAGCACCACCTGCAGCAGCACCTGAGTCACCTGTGACCTCGACAGGCTCAGCGACGGGAGGAGGGTCTACCTGAGAGACACCTGAAGGAGCAGGACCCTGAGGGGGAAGGGGGTCTACCGGAGGGGGACCAGGAGCAAGGAAAAGCGGCGGGGGAGGGAGGGGGGCAGTGCGGTAGGGGAAGAGACGGTAAAAAGGGACCGACTCGTCAAAGGTGACGTCCTGAGAGGCGAAGACCCGGCGCGAGGTGGGGTGGTAAAACTGCCAGCCCGGCGCGTCAGGGACAAAGCCAAGGAAGACACAGGGAAGCGTGCGGGAGGAGAGCTTGTCCGCGGACGTATCGCGGACAAGGGCACGAGCACCCTACACCCGGAAGCGCGACGCATCGCCAACCTCCCCCGTCCAACGCAGTGTGGGCGAGGTCTCCGGCAAGGAGACACGGGGCCAGAGGTTGAGCTGATGCGCGGCGTACCGGACAGCAAACGGCCACAGAAAATGGGGAGCCGCCGCGTGGACCAAGGAGGTACGAGCGACCTCCATGACAAGGCCAATGCGGCGCTCAGCAACCCCATTCTGCTGTGGGGAGTCCGGAAGCGTGAAGGTCTGCTCGATGCCCTCCTCCTGACAGAAGGTCCTCAAGAGATCGGAGGAAAACTCACCACCTCTGTCAGAGTGCAGACGCAGGACAGGAAGATCCGTCCGGAAACGGCGGCGGAGCTGGAGACGAACTGTGCGGATCCAAGGGATCAGAACAGCAGGGACCTCACCCTTGGTGCGCAAGGGGAAGACCGTGGTGTAACGCGAGTAGTCGTCGACAACCAGCAAAAAGTACCGCTCACCGCCCTGGCCACGAACGCGGGCTGGGCCCCACACGTCCAGGTGGAGGGTCTGCAGAGGAGCCTCTGTCGGGGGGAACGAGGAGGAGTGAGGAGCGGCGCGCTGCCGCCCCTCGACGCAAGGAAGGCAAGGCGGCGCAGGCGAGGCAGGGAGGGGAGGGAGGGACCTGGGAAGACCAGACACAAGGCAGCGACGGTGCATGCCACGGAGACGTGGCAAGGAGGGGTGACCCAGGCGGTGGTGCCAGAGAAGAGTCTGGTGTGACAGGGAACGACACTCACAGGCGTGGGCCACCAGACCTGACGCGGACACCTGACCGACAGCAGCGACCTGAGGAGACGCAGTGGTCAGTGTGTAGAGACTCGACCCCGGCCGACGGGTAAACGTAGCCAGGTGACGGCCGGTCCTGGAGCACGTGCAGATCGCCACACGCTGTCCTCCAGGGGTAAAGGTGTCAACCCACTGATCCTGGATGACAGCGTTGCTCACCAGGTTCGTCGAGAACGAGGGGAGGTGGAAACCCGACAACGAGCCAGACGGAACCGCCGGACAAGGGAGCACAGTGGTGGACTGGGCAAGGACTGGGCCCCCAGAGGGGTCAGCCAAGGAGACTGGGACCGGTGCAGGAAGCGGTGTGAGCTCAGTACTGTCACGAAAGAAACAGCGGGAAGCACCTGAGTCAAGGGTGAAGGTGTGACAGGCCTCAGCCGGTGCGGTACCTGAGAGAGCAGTCTCTGTGGGTGCTGTACCTGAGAGAGCAGACTCGCAAACAGCCGGGACAGCACTGGAGGGAGCAAGTACAGGGGGCACCATACCGGAGAGAGCAGACTCACTAGTACCCAGGGCAGCGGGCTCTATACCTGGGTCAGGCAGCACACACAAGTAACAGTCTCCCTCGGCACTAACAGTCAATGCATACATGGCAGCAATAATAGCATCATAGTCAAGAGCAAAGATATCAACACCAGCCCTCATGAGCTCAGCCCAGCGGGGGCGCTCAACATCCTCGCCCATCTCCTCACGCCAAGCGTCGTCAAGGCGAGAGAAGCAGCGATACGGGGTGTGGAACCTCCCACACGTCTGTCAGAAATAACTGAGCAGGAATGAATGAACTAGAACAGAGTTTGGTACAAGTAGGAAACCCTAACTTTGTGTACCCCCTAAGGTGTAACCCACTACAGCCTAGACAATATAAACATGCAATGTTTGACACACCCCCATAGGCGCAGTGGGAGACAACCACAGGGTCACAAGACCAGTCAAAGCAAAGCAAAGCAAGCTCAGGGTGGATCTCAAGGATTCCACACAAATTCCGAGCACAAGCAAGCGGTCACAAGACCAGTTCACATGCAGGTTTATAACAAAGCAAGAGATACAGTGATCACAACCTAGCAAAAGTAAACAAGTAGGCATATATATATAGTGATCACAGTACAGGCAAGGTCAAGAGGTAAGTAAGTGAGGCCCAGTGGGTACAAGGCCTAGCAGAGTGCAAAAGCGCTGATGGTCACAAGGCTGAAGCGCCTTGGTGAACACATCAGCAGTGTTGGCCTCCGTGGCCACGTAACGCAGACAAAGCTGACCACGCTGCTGCAGCTCTCGAGCAAGGAAGTACCGCAGAGCGATGTGCTTCGTTCTGTGCTCCAGTCTGTGCTCCTCACACAAGGCAATGGCAGCCTTGTTGTCGACGTACAGCACTGGAGGAGAACGAGGCCGCTCTCCGAGGTCGGTCAGCAGGTAGGTCAGCCAGCGTAGCTCCTGAGCAGCCATGGCTGTGGCGTAGATCTCAGCCTCACAACTGGAGCTGAGAACAGAAGAAGAGCGAGTAGAACGCCAAGAAACTGAGCCAGAGCCAAGGCTGAAGGTGTAACCCTGGGACGACCGCTGAGTAGCCTGGTCGTCTGCCCAAGAAGCGTCTGAGTGCCCTGTGAGAACAACCCGGTCTCGCCCTCCAAGCACAAGCCCCATGCCCGACGTGCTGCACAAGTAGCGCAACACCCTCTTAGCAGCATCCATGTGCTCCTTCCGGTGACGGCCAGGAGCGACATAGCGTGCTAGGATGCTAAGAGGGTATGCAAGGTCAGGTCGAGTGCAGGTCATCAGGTACATGAGGCAGCCCACAAGCTCTGGATACGGGCCACTCGGCTCTACGGACTCATCCGAAGGCAGAGCTGAGAGCGAGTGACCGGTAGGCAGAGGAGTGGACTGAGGCGAGGAGTACGTGAAGCGGAAGCGCTGGAGAACCTGCTGCACCATGTGTGACTGAGTCAGGGTGATGGTGCGCCGTGCTCTGTCCCGGGTGATCCGCAAGCCAAGATAGCTCGTCAGCTCACCCAGGTCTGTGCACGTGTGTCTCCTCTGCAGCTCCGACTTCACGTGAGCGAGTGCCGCGGTGTCAGCAGTGGCAAAGACCAAGTCGTCGACGTACACGAGGATGTAGAACGGCGGCAGCGAGGTGTCGGTGCGTAGAAACAGCGACGGGTCAGCAGTAGAGGGAGCGAACCCAAGAGCCGCAAGTGTCGTCCTCAGTGTGTCGTGCCACTCACGTGGCGCCTGGCGGAGACCGTAGACCGGCCGCTGAAGCCTCCACTGGGTGCCAGGAGGAACTGACCCAGTGAAGCCAGGGGGGCGGCGCAGCCAGATCTCCTCGTGCAGGCTGCCCTGCAAGAAAGCAGTGCTGAAGTCAAGAGAGTGAAGCTCGTAGTCGCGGTGAGCGGCTATGTGCAGCAGCACCCGAAGAGTAGTCATCTTCGGGGTGGGGGAGAAGGTCTGAAAGAAGTCTACTCCCTCTCGCTGACTGAAGCCTCGAGCCACGTAGCGCGCCTTGAAGACAGGTGGAGAACCCGGCGGCCGCTTCACCCTGAAAATCCACATGCCACTGACGATGTTCGCCCCAGGAGGGGGAACCTCGTCTACGTAGGTGCCTGTGGACTTCCAGGAGGCCATCTCTGCGTCCATGGCTGTCTGCCACTGAGAGGAGTAGGGACCCGCCATCGCCTCAGCGTAAGAGCGTGGGGTCGGGATGTCTGGTGCATCCGGGTCTCCCTCAGGGGCAACTAGCAAGGACACGAGACGGGGCAAAGCAGCAGCAAGGCAGTGGAACTCCTCCTGTCTGTCCTCAAGGACGTCCGTGCCGAGGGCACACTCACCCCCGACGGACGGAGGACAGGCAGACGCAGACTCAGACCTAGCGACAAGGCTGGCAGCGTAGTCTAGGCGACAGCGAGCAGCAAAGTCAACCAACTCAGTGACCAGAGCAGACGCAGCAGAGGACTCAAAGGTCGGGTCAGTGACAACTGTAGCGAGGAGACGCGTAACAGTGGGACTGGCAGCACGACGGGAGTCAGACTCCGGGTCAGGAAGAGTAGGAAGAGAGGACGCAGGAGGAGACGGCAGCGGGACACGCTGCGGAGCAGTGGAGGGACGCAGAGTCATGTAGTGAGTGCCAGGGACAGGAGGAGGACGCTCACGTGGGACACGACGACCAGTGCGAGCAGTACGAACAGGCGACGCAGGACGAGACTCAGGCCCACGACGCTCTGTAAGACCTCCTGTGGGACCAGCATAAGGAGAGGGAGCAGGGAGAGGCGAGGCAGGCGGTAACTGTGACTGCAGCTGGACAGGCAGAGGACACTCGACGGAGGGAGGAGGACTAGGAGGAGGAGCCTGACCAAGAACCTGCTGAAGGAGCGGTACGAAGTACGGTCGCGGCCGCGCAGCGTCTCCAGAAGCAGCAGGGACACCAGTGGCAGCCCCAACGCCTGAGTCCTCAGCACCAGCAGCAGCTCCAACGCCCGGGTCCTCAGCACCAGTAGGAGCTCCAACGCCCGAGTCCTCAGCACCAGCAGCAGCGTCACCGGTCGGGTCCTCAGCACCAGCAGCAGCTCCAACGCCCGGGTCCTCAGCACCAGCAGCAGGGCCACCGGTCAGGTCCTCAGCACCAGCAGCAGCGCCACCGGTCGGGTCCTCAGCACCAGCAGCAGCTCCAACGCCCGGGTCCTCAGCACCAGCAGCAGCTCCAGCCCCCGGGTCCTCAGCACCAGCAGCAGCTCCAGCGTCCGGGTCCTCAGCACCAGCAACAGCACCACCGCTCGGGTCCGCAGCACCAGGAGCACCACTACGAAGACTGCAGCGCCGCGTGTACCACTCGCGGATCACCTGAATGGGGGGGAGCTCCTGGGTAGGAGGGGAAGTACCGGGACGAGCTCCAGAAGCACCTCTCCGGAGGCGGCAGTACTCGAGGTACCTCTCCTGCAGCTGCTGGGAGGAGAGGGCTCCTCCAGGTGGAGCACGCTCAGGCTCAGCACCCCCAGACTCAGCACCCCCAGACTCAGCACCCCCAGTCTCAGCACGTCCAGGCTCAGCACCCCCAGGCTCAGTACCTCCAGGCTCCGCACCTCCAGGCTCCGCACCTCCAGGCTCCGCACCTCCAGGCTCAGCACCCCCAGGCTCCGCACCTCCAGGCTCAGCACCCCCAGTCTCCGCACCCTCAGACGCAGCACTCCCAGGCTCAGCACCCCCAGACGCAGGACGCGAGTCAACAGCTACCTCGACAGGCTCACCCGGGTCTACCTGGGACACACCTGAGGGAGCGGCACCCTGAGGGGGGAGGGGGTCTGGTACCTCAGCACCTGGAGCGAGGAAGAGAGGCGGGGGGGGGAGCGGGGCAGTGCGGTAGGGGAAGAGGCGGTAGAAGGGGACGGACTCGTCAAAAGTGACGTCCTGAGAGGCCAGAACCCGGCGCGAGGTGACGTGGTAAAACTGCCATCCAGGCGCGTCGGGAACAAAGCCAAGAAAGACACAGGGAACAGCGCGACGCGAGAGCTTGTCCGCGGACGTGTCGCGGACAAAAGCTCGAGATCCCCAGACCCGGAAACGCGACGCATCGCCAACCTCTCCCGTCCACCGTAGAGTCGGGGAAGTCTCCGGTAAGGAGACACGGGGCCAGAGGTTGAGCTGATGCGCTGCGTACCGGACCGCAAACGGCCACAGAAAGTGGGGAGCAGCCGCATGAGTCAGGGAGGTACGAGCGACCTCCATGACCAAGCCAATGCGGCGCTCAGCGACCCCATTCTGCTGTGGAGAGGCCGGAAGCGTGTACGACTGCTCAATGCCGTGCTCAGCACAGTAGGCTGCCAAGAGGTCGGAGGCAAACTCACCACCTCTGTCAGAGTGCAAGCGCAGGACAGGAAAGTCCGAGTGAAAGCGCTCGCCTAGCTGGAGACGGGCTCGGCTGATCCAGGGGATCAAAACACCAGGGACGTCACCCTTGGCGCGCAAGGGGAAGACCGTGGTGTAGCGCGAGTAGTCGTCAACAACTATCAGGAAGTACCTCTCCTGACCCTGACCACGGACGCGGGCTGGGCCCCACACGTCCATGTGGAGCGTCTGCAGGGGAGCGGTCGTCGGGGGAAAGGAGGAGGAGTGAGGAGCGGCGCGCTGCCGCCCCTCGACACAGGGAATGCAGTCAGGAGCAGGGGAGTCAGGAAGGGGAGGGAGCACCCTGGGAAGACCAGCAACAAGGTCCCGTTTGTGCATGGCCCGCAGGCGCTGCACAGACGGGTGACCAAGGCGGTGGTGCCAGAGGACGGTGTCGTTCGCCAGAGAGCGACACGAGCAGGGGGCGGACAGCTGACCTGACGCTGACGCAGACGCAGCTACCTGAGGGGACTCAGTGGTCAGTGTGTACAGGTCAGACCCCGGCTCTCGAGTGAAAGTAGCTAGGTGGCGGCCCGTCCGAGCACACGTGCAGTGAGTCACACGCTCGTAGGCAGGGGTGAACTGGTGAACACCCCCGTCCTGGAGCGCACTACCTGCCACCAAGTTCGTGGAGAACGAGGGGAGGTAGAGACCTGAGAGCGTGCCGGACGGAACCGCTGGACACGGAAGGGTGGTGGAGGAGGTCGCAAGGACCGGACCCCCAGAGGGGTCAGCAAGAGAGACAGCAACCGGCCGAGCTAGAGGCTCAAGGACAG